GAATTAAGTACAGTCCAGGAGTACAAAAGTAAATACTTTTGACTGAACTAGCAAAGGTGAAACTAGATGAAAACGTAGTTGTCAAAACTAAAATCATAGATTACTGTTGAACTGTGTTTGAGTACTGTCAGAGTCTTCATTCACCACACTTAAAGATACATTTTTCAGGGAAAAGTGGAACTTTTACAACTGAATGGAGTCACCAACCAGTTGAGCATAAATAACCATGGAAATACTTCTGGGAGGCTGTACATTTTCTATTGTTTCATCTACAAAAATCCACTCGTGTGTATTTAATTCTTTTTCATTTTAATTTTTTCCAACTTTTATTTTATATTCAGGTGGTACACGTGCAGGCTTGTTACCTGGTAATATTTTGTGATGGTGAGGTTTGGGGTGCAAATGATTCCGTCACCCAGGCACCCAGCGTAGTACCCAGTAGTTAGTTATGATCCTTGGCCCTCTCTCTCCCTTCTAGTAGTCTCTACTTTCTATGACCGTGAACACATAAATGTTGAGCTCCTATTTATAAGTGCCACTCACTTATTTAAAACAAACATTGCTTTATTGCAAAAATGTTTGGACTAGAAGTAACCAAACGGTCAACCACCCTGCTAGCATTTTGATAGATTCAATCACTATTTTGTGAACTTATTTTATTGATTGCTATTTATGACCCATTTTGGACACACTAAGAGACAGAATCTGAAACACAGGAACACTCTTGCTGTGCTGGCTGGTGGGTCAGATGTTGCCAGTCAGGCCGTGTTGAAAGCACAGGTATAACCCTTCCTGTAAGGTTAGAAGGGACCAAGTGGCCCAGGCCCCCACTCCCTGTAAGGTTAGGAGGGACCACGTGGCCCGTGTGTTCCCATTGCCTTCCTCGCTGCTGTCATCAGCCTGCTTTCTGTTCCAAAGATCAGTTCTATTCACATTTAAGTGGTCTTCAGAGTGAGCCATTTGTCACGAGCAACGTCATAGAGATATCACAGTAAATCTATCATTTGTACTCTCAGATTAATAGAACAAGCTTGGAATGGGGAAAGATAAAGTGTTCTAGGAGCAGTCAGTTGATATGCAGACCACCTAATACATACAAGGCTGTGCGAATGGCTGCGGATATAAGGACTATTTAGAGGGTGACTCTACCTTCAGATGGCTCATATTATGTTTTAGGAGGCGGAAGCATGTGGCAAATAAAAACAACAAAGAGAGTTATAGAAACGAGTAGAAGAGGTGTCATGAGGGCAGGTCAGAGCAAATCACAGACTCAAGGTGTCTTCATTAAACTCATACCCATCCGCGTGTGATCCATCTTATTGAGGTATGAACACAAAGTTCGTAGTATATGATGAGTGAAATAAATCGTCAGGGTCAAGGAGGCATTAGTAAAGTGTATTCCCCATTCTTCAATCTCCGTTCAGTTCAGCAAAGTCTCCTGGTTGCTCTACCTTGAGCTTCATTTCTGCCCTTGGGTGCATTTCTTTCCTATCCCAATCCAAAACTTTCCAGGCGAGCTACACGTGATTATAATTTATACGCACAAATATGTTTGTAAATAGGCAGTGCTACGTTTCCTACTTTAAAACATATTATGCATATCTTTACATGAAAAGGAAATTAACCTACATCATTATCAATGAGGACAATGTAAATTGAGCAATGTTTAATTTAGTCAGCCTAATGCTGATCATTCAGATCGTTTCCAGTTTATTTTCACAATCAATAGCAATAATTCATTTAATGTTTTCAAGTATTATTCCCACTTCACACTATTTATTTCCTCAGAATAAATTGATGAAAATGGCTAAAACGTAGATGTTTTTTAAGTTTGATAAATGCCAGACACTACCAGAAAAAAATGGTTTCAATTTGTACTTATACTAGCAATGCATGATATTGCCTGCTTTTTCACAATAAAAATCGTAATTTATTGTCATTACTTCAGCATTTTTTTAGGATCCAAATAGCATACTTCTTTTTCCCCCCCTTTGGCTATTTATTTATTTAATATATATATTTTGTTGCTTTTTAGATTCTGGGGTACATATGAAGAACATGCAGGATTGTTGCATAGGTACATACATGGCAATGTGGTTAGCTGCCTCCATCCCCATCACCTATATCTGGCATTTCTCCCCATGTTAACCCTCCCCAACTTCCTACCCCCGTCCCTGTGTCCAGGTGTTCTCATTGTACAACACCTGCCTATGAGTGAGAACATGCAGTGTTTGATATTTCTGTTCTTGTGTCAGTTTGCTGAGAATGATGGTTTCCAGGTTCGTCCATGTCCTTACAAAGGACATGAACCCATTGTTTTTTATGGCTGCATAGTATTCCATGGTGTATATATGCCACATTTTCCTTGTCCAGTCTATCATTGATGGGCATTTGGGTTGGTTCCAAGTCTTTGCTATTGTAAACTGCTGCAATGAACATTCGTGTGCATGTGTCCTTATAATAGAATGATTTATAATCCTTTGGATATATACCCAGTAATGGGATTGCTGGGTCAAATGGAATTTCTATTTCTAGGTCCTTGAGGAATCACCACACTGTCTTCCACAATGGTTGAACTAATTTACACTCCCACCAGCGTGTAAAAGTCTTCCTATTTCTCCACATCCTCTCCAGCATCTGTTGTCATCAGATTTTTTTAATGATCACCATTCTAACTGGTGTGAGATGGTATCTCAATGTAGTTTTGATTTGCATCTCTCTAATGACCAGTGATGATGAACATTTTTTCATATGTTTGTTGTCCTCATATATGTCTTCTTTTGAGAAGTGTCTGTTCATATCCTTTGCCCACTTTTGAATATATTCTTTTTTCTTGTAAATCTGTTTTAGTTCTTTGTAAATTCTAGATATCAGTCCTTTGTCAGATGGGTAGACTGCAAAAATTTTTTCCCATTCTGTTGGTTGCCAATTCACTCTAATGACTGTTTCTTTTGCTGTGCAGAAGCTGTGAAGTTTGATTAGGTCCCATTTGTCTATTTTGGCTTTTGTTGCCAATGCTTTTGGTGTTTTGGTCATGAAGTCCTTGTCTATGCCTGTGTCCTGAATAGTTTTGCCTAGATTTTCTTCTAGGGTTTTCTTCTATGGTGTTAGGTCTTATGTTTAAATCTTTAATCCATCTGGAGTTAATTTTGGTGTAAGGTGTCAGGAAGGGTTTCAGTTTCAGCTTTCTGCACATGGCTAGCCAGTTTTCCCTACACCATTTATTGAACAGGGAATCCTTTCCCCATTACCTGTTTTTCTCAGGTTTGTCAAAGATCAGATGGTTGTAGATGTGCGGAGTTGCCTCCAAGGCCTCTGTTCTGTTCCATTGGTTCATCTTTCTGTTTTGGTACCAGTACCATGCTGTTTTGATTACTGTAAACTTGTAGTATGGTTTGAAGTCAGATAGCATGTTGCCTCCAGCTTTTTTCTTTTTGCTTAGAATTGACTTGGCTATGTGGGCTCTCTTTTGGTTCCATATGAAGTTTAAGGTAGTTTTCTCCAGTTCTGTGAAGAAAGTCACTGGTAGCTTGAGGAGATAGCGTTGAATCTATAAATTACTTTGGGCAGTATGGCTATTTTCACGATATTGATTATTCCTATCCATGAGCATGGAATGTTTTTCTATTTGTTTGTGTCCTGGCCTAAGTAGTGCTTTAGGCATACATTAAAGTATTTCAAATTCTCTGATTTAGATGTGAATCTGTTATTATGATTTTAGAATCCCAATATATCTTAGGAAAAAGAAAGAGATTGTCCTATAGAAGCTAACTGAATATATTAAGCACATAATGAATTTCCATTTAAAATTCAAATTTCAGAATTGTTCTCTTTGTTTCATTTGTGATGTCACCTTAAATTACAGTTTATATATGTTTATGTCATTCTTTTTTGCATCTTTTAATTCTCTTTTCCATTTTGTACATTTTCCTTTGTTTTCTTTGAAGAGTGAATCCACACTTTAAAAGGGGGTGTTTACTCTGAATGGTGTTGTAGCTATGATTAACATAGTTGTTTTCTATCTCATTTCATCTTATAGTTTGTTTTAATTTCCTGTGCTATTATGCCTTTTTTCTTTCATATTTTAAAGGATTCTAACACATACACAAACACACATGAACACACATACAAACATTTTTGTAATTCATCTTAATACTAGTAACTGATTTTGTTAATCTTTTTCAAAATTATTCTTATTCTTATAGAATGCGTTACCTTATAGTTAACCTCTGTTTTGCAGTCCTAAACAAAAATCTATCTTTAGGGGGCTCACTTACTGAGAAAAAGAATGTTAGATTCTTGATAATAATTTATGTTTTTATTTATCACCAGTCCTTTGCCCTGTATGTTTCAAGAAGGAGGGAATATTGTTGGTGGTATCTTCAACTCCTAGAAAAATGTCTAGCGAAGAGCTGTATCACAATAAATAGTTGAATGAATAAATACATGAATGAATGAAAGCTACATTCTGGTACTTCTTAATTTTATATTCTATTTAAATTGAATCTGTTTTTCGTATATAATATTAGCATTCCGTTTTCAGACCTTGCTGTCTATATAGATATAGATAAGTGTATCTGTCTGGTCTGCATAATTGATGTCATACATGTATCTATATATATCTGTGTGTGTGTGTGTGTGTGTGTGTATCTTCATCGTTAAGAATGTTTTGAGTTCTATGCAATGTTGCAATCCTATTTACATTAAGTATATATATTTAGCCTGAATTCAACATTCACTATTAGTAATATCACTGTTTCTTCCCTTGCCTTAATTTTATTTATTCTACACAAATACTCAGCTGTATCTTAGTGTTTATTCCCCCTAATTTAATCTCAGAATGTCTTCCTGTTTGAGCCAAACATTAACAACTAACACATATCCGATGATATCGACAGTAACTTTTCTTGCACAGATTCTAGACTTATCCTCTAAGAAACTGACATGTGCGAACGATGTAATTTTTGAAATTTGCACCCTTTCTATTGTTACAGAGAAAATGGGAAAACATACAGAAATAAGTGAACTACCTGTGGCCACACAATTTGATGGCAAAGAAAGGATCAAACCAAGGGAATCCTGGCTCCAGAGTGCTCTTTTGGCTGCAACATTGTATGTCTTCAGTTTAGACATTTTTTCACTTTTATCTGGAATTTATCAGGAAGACATCTGTGGTCAATGTGAATTTTCGTCTGTGTAGGTGACTACACAGACTTTCCTTTTCTTGTGTTTTGTTTGCATTCTACTATGTTTTATTAGATGCTACCAGATGCTTTTACTTCAAATAACTTTCCCAGACACACACAAGTGTATTTATTAATTAAATGAAATATCCATATGCAGAGTCTTTTTGTTCCTTTCACAAGTCTTTTTTCAGTTTTTATTAATAATTCTCTCCTATTTGTGAAATCACTCTTTTTTAAAACATTGTTGATTTATATTTTGTTTTTGTAATTCCAGTACTCCATGTCTTGCTCTGTCTTGCCCAGGCTGGAGTGCAATCACACTATCTCAGCCCACTGCAGCCTCTGTCTCCCCAGTTCAAGCGATTCTTCCACTTCAGTCTCCAGGGCAGCTGGGATTACAGGTACCTGCCATCATGCATGGCTAATTTTTGTATTTTTGTGGAGACAGAGTTTCACCATGTTGGCCAGGCTGGTCTTGAACTCCTGAACTCAGATGATCCGTCCACCACAGCCTCCTAAAGTGCTGGAATTACAGGTGTGAGCCACCACCCCCAGCCATGTCAGTCTTTCTTATCATTTAATATCTGCCTTTCTGTATCTCTGGAGAGCTACTCAAGTTTTATCCTCCACAACCCTGTTTTATCCTCCACAATCCTCCATGAAACCCAGTTTCATGTCTCCAGCGCTCTTCTTAGCAGCCTTTCCTGTAACTTCTCATCCTGGAACTGTTTTAATTCCGGTGGGTAAAGCACTGCCCTGGCCTGACTCTGTTTATCCTGAAGTGCTCCCTAATGCTGTGGTCTTTTTCTGCTCCTCTTGGCATGGCAGTGGACTCCTTCCACTTCATCAGGTCATCGCAAGGAGCTCATTCAATGAGCTGCTACCCGTTAGATGGAGAATCTGCATATCGGATGGATAGCAAGCAGAACAAATCTTCAACCCCATGTTTCCCTCACCACCAAATCCATTCAGCCTCTTCTACACAGGTAAGCAAAAATGTGCAGTTATGTTTAATTTTTTGTTGAAAGAGTAGGAAAAACGTAGAAAGTGTCAATTTCTTGTTGGCTTGCGTTTTTCCTTGTGTGTGTATATTTCCCACTTTCCTAAATCAAGTCTCCTGTTCACCGTGCTGAGAACCCTCCTTCAAAACCCTCCTTTGTTGGTCTACTTGCAAAACTCTACCCTTTTTCTCCACAATTTCTTGGCTAGAGGAGGGTAAGGATGGGGAAAGCAGACAAGCAGATCCTGCTGCAGGGAACATCCGGCACAGAGAGGCACAGCCAATCCTGTCTCTGAGCAGTTCATACCCCAGAGACCTTGCACATGGCCTGGCCTAGACTTCAGAGGCTTTTCTCTACTGAGAAGTAACTAGAGTTCATCTTTTCCTATTACCCAAGATTTTTAATGTTCAGTGTGGAGAAAAAGTTGAGTCTTTTCTGTGGTTTCGTGAGCATGTACTGAGAATTGAAACAGGCTGCCCTGGAGAATGTGTAGACACTTGCAAATCATTTTTTAGGCCCTAGTTGTTCATGTAATGCTCTAACGTCTGGATCCTCACTGTTTAATCTGAGAGTGAATTTAGGAAATGACAGTCTTCTTCCTGGGATGAGTTTTCCCAGAAACTAGTCTTTCACAAGTCCCTATCTTTTGCTAAAAGATTACACTAATGGCAATTATTTGCATAATCAGGAAGAATGTTCTGAGATTGTATCATTTTAAATAATTCAGAAGACAGTGCACAAGCCTGGAACCCTGCCTGGTGCTCAACAGGTCGTGTGTGCTTTTTATAGTGCGACCCCTATTGTTTGTGCCAGCGAGTATACACGCCGTAGCTGAGAAATGCGATATGGCCTTCGGCAGGAAATTGTATGTCCTCGGTATCAGCATTATCTCACAACCACAATGGCAACTAATAGATGAACAGTTGAATTTACTCAGCTGTGGTCCTTTGCATATGTTACATGATGCTTGTTCATGACAAGCTCCCTTAAGTTTCCTATGATATGCTTAATTTAAGTAATGTGCATTAGGGCACATTGCAAATGATGAAGCCAGGACCCCAGACGAGCATTGTTAGAGACAGTATTTGAGAATCGAGCCCCCCCCACTCCAAAATGGTGTTCCTGGAAACCAGCTGCCCCCTGTGTGCACTCACTCCTGCATCGTCTGCCTCTGTGTGGTACAACACCTGAGGGCACATAGTAGTTCAAGAATTCAAAACTCAAGTTGGATTTTAGAGGGTTAAAACTAACGAGGAATCTTTTAAAAGACGTTCTTGCATTCATTGTATATTAAAGATGTGAACGCACCACCCATAGCTGCCTAAGACTGTGTACGGTCTTCTGCCTCTGGCCTGCAAGATCTTTGATGCATTTCATTCAGTCACCGTAAGCCTTAGGCTTACGACTGAGCGACCAGTTCAGGAAGCTTTGAGTGAAATGGGGGTGATGTTAGGACAGGTCACATAACCTGGGCCATCCCAGTATAACCCGGATGAGTTTTCCCCTCTTGTGAACCCTTTAAGACCCACAAAAATACAAAACTAAGCAAAAACAAAAAATGGCTCCAATGTACCAAAGAGACACAAAGAAAAAAACAAATAGAGAACGAACGTGTTAAGCTGTTGTGTCGTAAACTGCCAGTCGATTCTGCTGATAATACTTAGAAAATACTTTCCCCTCTTTGCCCTGTCCTGCACCCTTCGAAGAACTGATCACTAACATCTCACTGTCTTCCTCGCTTGCAAGGCTCTTCCTGAACTGACTCTTGTTTTCTGACTACCCCAAGCTCCTTTCCTGCTCGAGGGGTGTCACATTTGCTATTTATTTTGTAGGAACACCACGGTTCCCACGTGTGATTCACTGTGCTGATTTCATGACTAGAATGTAACTCATGTCATTCATATTCTCTTTTTATTCACCACCGTATCCCCAGAGCTTAGAACATTGCCCAGGACTCTCTCCATAAATAAAGATTTTGTGTGCAAATGAATGAGAAATTGACGAATGATAAAGGAACACTTAAGAATGGCCAATGATCGGGTGGATAATATAATCATATTTATTACAGTTCAACATAGTCTTCAGCTGTCTACAATTTATGGTTATTTCTGGATGAGACCAATAGGTTTATAAATTATCACAGAAATTCCCAATTCGATGCATTGGCCCACTGAATTATTTCACTGGGTCGTTTGAGTTTATTTGATCAATTGTCTTGCAGTTGTATCCACATTTTAAATAAATGGAGCCAACTCCAAATGAAGGATCCTCTCTAGGGCCCAGGTGTTCTTCAGTCACAATAAAACTTGCTTAAGCCAAGCATCAGTCGCCAAACATTCCTTCGTTTTTATGCCATAGGGTCCTGACTTTGAAATTATTCTTCATCAAAAAGAAATAGCCAAGGAAAAAGGAGCTACAAATCTACCCCATCAAAAAAAATGTTATTAGTTATATAAAAAATGTAATCTAATAATGTTTACGCAGACATGTCTAAGTGATTTATCTTCTGTGATTTTTGTTGACCCTGCTTCTCTTCTTATGCCTCCAGGTCAAACTCAGTGCCATGAATGGAAACGCGACCTTGTCCAGTGGCTTTACCCTCCTGGGGCTCTTCACTCACAATGAAGGCTCAGGGTTCTTTTTCGGTGTCATTTGCGCCATTTTCTTCATGGCCGTGATAGCTAATGGACTCATGATCTTCCTGATTCACATAGACCCACATCTCCACACCCCCATGTACTTCCTCCTCAGCCACCTCTCCCTCATCGACACGTTATACATCTCCACCATTGTGCCCAAGATGCTGGTGGATTATCTTGTAGGTGAGAGGACCATCTCTTTCATCGCCTGCACTGCTCAGTGCTTTCTCTACATGGGCTTCGTGGGGGCTGAATTCTTCCTGCTGGGGCTCATGGCCTATGACCGCTACGTGGCCATCTGCAACCCGCTGCGCTATCCTTTCCTCGTCAGCCAGCGGGTCTGCTGGATGATCCTGGCCAGCTCTTGGTTCGGCGGGGCTTTGGACAGTTTTCTCCTCACCCCCATTACCATGAGTCTCCCATTCTGTGCCTCTCACCAAATCAATCACTTTTTCTGTGAGGCACCCACCATGCTGAGGCTGGCCTGTGGGGACAAAGCTGCCTATGAAATGGTGATGTACACGTGCTGTGTGGCAATGCTGCTGATCCCCTTCTCAGTGGTGACTGCGTCCTATGCCAGGATTCTCAGCACAGTGCATCAGATGACGTCAGCTGAAGGGAGGAAGAAGGCCTTGGCCACCTGCTCCTCACACATGATGGTGGTGACGTTGTTCTATGGGGCTGCTTTGTATACATATATGCTTCCTGAATCCTATCACACTCCACTCAAAGACAAGGTCTTCTCTGGCTTTTACACCATCCTCACCCCCTTATTAAACCCTCTCATCTACAGTCTGAGGAACAGGGATGTGATACGTGCCTTGAAGAGAGTTATGGCAAGATGTTGAGGGACCTCTGGTGTGAGGAGGGCAGAATTCTGATAGTTTAAAACCCCCACATCCTGTTCAGGCACGTGTGGCGTTGCATCACGAATGACACGGACAATGCTGGCAGGGACCGCCAAAGCCAGCTATGCTGAATGGGGTATCAACAGCACTTCCATCAGAAACGTGAAATGCTGTGACAGTCACACACAAAAAATGCCCGAGTTCTAGAAACACTACTTGGGTTTATCCTTTTTCTGTTTGTACTGATCCCGATTCTTCTCTCATATCACTTCTCTGATTGTGGCTTATGTATCTGAATTCCCCAAAATGTTAAGTTAACATTATATGTTCTGACCATCTTCAATGGCCCCATAAGAACTGGTGATTTTGACCGCATTGTTTAAACAATCCATCAATTGACTTATCAAAGGTGTAGGGATGCCAGGGTTTGAAAGACATTAGAAAGAGACTAAATTGTCGTAAAACTGTAAAAGAAACCTACATAGACTTACACCAAGATTTGGAAAATCCAAATATCTCTTCCTTGAGTAACAACTGAAAACACTCTAAATTTGGAGCTAAAAAATGAGTCATGTGTTTTGTGGAAGTGCCAAGACTAAAGGTTTATGGAAAAGGAGTCTGTAATGTTGTTTTTTTAACACGGTAACTAATTGTTACATTGGAAGACACAGCGAAAGGTGGTTGAGAAAAAAATTCCCTATTAACTAGCAGTTTCTGTAACACCTTTTCAGCTTCTTCTCCAATTCATTTGCGTTTTTAGACTTCTGGAATCCCTGTGTAGATGTTAGCATTGTTGGAGCTATTTCTACCAACTTTTTTTCTTCCAAATAAATAGTGGGCAGCACATCTTCCCTTCTCTGTAGCACTGGCTGTGGCATTGGGTAACATTACACAGTGGGGAGGAAATACCCAGCTTTTCATTTGAAAGTTAAAACCAAAAACCCTTTGCAAAAATGACTTTGTCACCAGCGGTGCAAGTTTAGAAATAAACAGGACCACGAATGCTTCTGTCTTTCCACAGTGTCAGGATTTTATCAACGCCACTTCAATCACAAAAGCTGCTGTGGGCTACATGGAGTTCCCAAGGGGCCGACTCCCCTTAGTGCCTCCCGTTCATTGTGTAGTCACGGCCGCAGGACAGACAGAAGCCACAGCATCATCAGTCAATATTGCAAACCATACATAATAGTATATCTAATCGATATGTAAATGTTATAGTTTACCATTTCACAACAAACAAACACGTAACACAAGAAGGAAAAGAGACAGGAGAAAGTATCACATACCACTCCGGGGAGAGAAGACCAAAGCTGTCATGGTCAAGGCTGAGGGTCCCTCGGTCTTGCAGGAGTCGTTGAGGTGGGAGAGAATTTGGGAGCAGAGGCCAAGTTTGCATCATAAGTGACTGCAAGGTGGTGCCATTAACAAGCTCTTTTGAGCTGCTGAAGACCTGTCCTTTCATAGTTACGGAGTCCCCCCGAGAAAATGGATCGTGGAAGACTGTGCTTGTTTGAGTCCTTATCTGGTTGGGTTCAGTCTTCTTTTAAATTTGTTTAGTAGAGAACACATCTCATCCTGGTTGGAAAAGTGCTCTATGAAGGATAAAATGGAGTCTTTTTCTAAGATGGAGTTGGCTATGTCAAGGGTGCTCTATACCTTTAGTATTATTTCTTTTTAGGTAGCTAAGAACTGGAGAAAAACGTTTGTCCTAAATTGTAGACACAGCAGTAAAGACCAGGACCACAGCCCAAGCCCCTCAGGCCACCTCTACAGGCTGCTGTCCTCATCGCTTTGCCAAAATCCGGGCTGTGTTCAGTGATGTTCTGCAGACACAGGAGATGGTGGGCGAATTGAACATAGTCACACCTCCTTTTGTCCTGAAAAGACCTGCTGGGTATTTGACAAAATATTTAGCCAAATAGAAGAGCCCACCTTGGGGTTAGGCTGAGCACTTAATCAAGAAGATAGACCTGGTCTTGCCTAACTGATCAGTTGTAATCCAGGAAGAGCTTTTCCAAAGCTCTTTAACTGGAGGTTCAGCACCCCCTCGATCTTGTCAGACTGTCTTGGACAACTCTATGTGTCAGATAATATGAGGGAGCATTTCCAACCCAGATGTTGAGATACAAAAAACGCAATAGATCAGAAGAGAAGGAGGGGGCTGGCCCATAAGAACTGGGCATCAGCTTCAGCTCCACATAAACACCATGTGAATTTCTGTCAATCATGCAATGCTTCTGAGGCCCAACTTCCTCTTTTATAAAATTTGCCTTAATAGATACATTTTTTTCTTGCAAAATTTTAAAATCTAGTAAATTGATTAATTAATAAAACCTTATAAACGCTAGTCATCATTTCAGCTATTCTTTGAAAAGGTAGTTGCCTTTGTATTCACGTTTTACAAGGCCTTCCATTTCTATCAATCCCTTACACACAAGAGCATATCCTCTTGGTGCAGCCACTGTGGAATACAGTTAGACAGTTTCATACAAAATTAAACATAATCTTACCATCTGGTGTGGCAGTTGTGCTTCTTGGTATTAACTCTGCTGATTTGGAAACTTATATTCGTAGTTGATTTTTCATAAATTCCAAAACATAGACTTAATCAGGATGTCCTTCAGAAGTTCAATGGATACAGTGGGATATCAAGCCATTAGAAGACATGGAGGCAACTTAAATGCGTATTGTTTAGCGAAAGAAGCCAATCTGAAAAGACTACATACTGTGATTCCAGATGCATGACATTCTGCAAAAACCAAACTGTGGAGACAGGAAAAGAAAGCACTGCAAGGGATGAGAGGGAGGGATGAATGGACAGACTGAGCCTGGAGGACTGTTAGAGCAGTGAGACTATCCCACAGGACACAAGAACTAACGTTATATAACGTTATGTTACAGGGTAGTATGCATTTGTGGGAAGAAAATTCAAATCTAGAGCAGAAAGACTTATCCCTTAGTAAAGGATAAACTCTAGTTAATAATAATGCATCAAAACCGGTTCGTCTATTGTAACAAATGTACTACGCTAATGCCAGAGTTAGCAATAGGGAAAAGAGAGGGGATACCTGAAAATTCTCTCAACTATCAGTTCAATTTTGTTTGTAAACCTCCTTGTTCTAAAATACAAAATTTCATTTTGAAACAGTTTTCTAACAATTATGTAACTCTCTGATACTATATTTCTTGAGTGGATTTCTGTCAATAAATCATTTGAAGTTCTCCTCAAAGAATTGTGGTGTTTGTAGAAGTTAGGATGTGGGTTGGGCGTGAAACAATAAGAGTTTGTTAATCGAATTGGTCTTGTTTGGGGAGTTTGATTATATATTCTTTTGAAAATGCAGGAGCAGTGAGGCCAGTATTTCCTGGAAAGTTAGTCAGAAGAACATAGGCCAAATATTAATTAGTTTTAAGTTTGTTTGTGGCATATGGTAGTACAGCCTAGGAACTTGCATTTCTAGTTAGCATTCCTTTCCCCTTCTGCATTTATGAGAAAATGCGGGAAATGTATCATTTGAATATGGAAGGGGGAAAATGTCTATATTACCTCAAACCAGAAGACTTCTAAAACCTATTGAAAGAGGGTTGCTGCAGGAGAAGGCCTTTTTAGAGTAAGTGAATTTTTTTAAGGAATTTGATTATCATTAGCCATCATTTGGAATTTCATCTCAAGTTCCTGAGATATTTAGCCTTTAATGGAATGTGAAGCCACTTGTGATCCATCTGGCCAAGCCTTCAGGAAAATCAGTTCAAAACTCAGCCTGGCTCTGTGGGATGCCCTGTAGAATCTTGTGCTTCCCATGGTTGAAGCCGGCTAGCAAAATGCATAGTTTGTGCTCAAAGAAGAATTAATAATGGCTAGAAGAGAGATTGATTTGTCTTCTAGCTCTCACAGTAACTCCGTCTACCATTTGCATGACTCTGTTGCCTTAGCCTGAGTTTCTACTTAAGTGAATAGAGAACACTCTCCTAGATACGGTTGTTGATTCCCTCAGAAAAAAATTAACACAGCAGCAATCAAGTCACGCACAACCCTTTTGGAAACTTGAGGAAGAACACGAACAACATTTCTAAAGGTTTTTGTCACTATTCTGAAATTCACAGTGTCATAAATACATGTCACTTTATTACTAGACTCTAAAAATATCTAGTCATTATGTAGCACGTAGATGATTTTGATATGAATTGGTGTTCTCAAGAAGTCACGGTTTTACATTAAAAACTGCAGGACTGTCCATGGGAAGGCACCTAGGGGGAACGACCGGGGACCAGAGAGACACAGGAACCTGGTGCCTTCCAGGACCTATCCAAGGGCTTGACAAGCATCAGACACTCCATAGTGATGCTCACGTGAAATGTGGAGAATTATTAATTCAGGAGGAGAAGTCAAGGGAGTTTCATCAGATGAATGAGTTTTTGGTACATGCCAGTTAAGGATCACTGCTGGGTTTCTGGACTGCTGTGCTGAGGGTTTCTCTGAGGTCACATGTAGGCTCTGTGGGAAGAGTGATATAATCACTCAGGTGGGTTCCTCAGGAGGAGTTCTAGGGCATGGGGTACCAGGTTGAATGCTATGTATTTGTGAGCACTGATTGTTGAAAACAACAATTGCAGAGTTGAGGAAACAGAATTCCGGAGAGATGTCCTGGCTGAGGGTGACCCTGTCAATGGCAGCGTTGACACAGAATTCAGCTGTTCTGCTTCAGGTGTCTACCGCAGCTTTCCTCCTGCAGCATCTCTTTGATATGTAAAGTATCCAGTCAAGAGTCGCACCTCCTCTGTCTGGCCCACACACCCAAAGGGGCAACATTTCTCAGCTTCAGTCAACCCAGAGCTAATCCCAGCCCAAACTGAGCGTCAGGCTGCTGTTTCTCGTGACCCAATAACAAGATCCAGATGAACTGGAAAGAAGAGTTTTTATTTTTGCAAGCTGTTACCAGGAGAAGGCCTGGAAATTACCACCAGACCAATTCAAAATGACAAAGTTTTCCCTAGAGTATATACCTTCTAAGCTATATGTCTACGAGTAAGTGTTCATTCCTCTAAAGACATAATTGATTAACTTCTTTAAATCTATAACTAAGGTCTTTAAGTTAATCTACAACTAATCTATAATGGAGTCCTGTTTCCTCTGGGGCCTCAGGAATTTTTTTCTTTTTCTTTTTTGAGACAAAGTTTCACTCATGTTGCCCAGGCCAGGCTGGAGTGCGGTGGCGCGACCTTGGCTCACCGCAACCTTCACCTCCCAGGTTCAAGTCATTCTCCTGCCTCAGCCCCTCCCCAAGTAGCTGGGATTAGAAGCATATGTCACCATGCCCAGCTATTATTGTATTTTTAGTAAAAACAGGGTTTCTCCATGTTGATCAGGCTGGTCTCAAACCCCCAACCTGACTCTCAGGTTATCTGCCCACCTCGGCCTCCCAAAGTGCTGGGATTACAGGTGTGAGCCACTGTGCCTGGCCAGGAAATTTCCTTCATCTGAGTAAGTCCAGGGCCTGGGGTGATTACCCTTATCTTGTCTCCCGCTAAATCACAGAGGTCTGGGGAGTTTCTTCAGACCCCCTCAGCAAAACTTGTTTAATCCTAAACGGTACTGCTAAGAATTCCTTCATTATCTTGTCATGCTTTAAGGCCCAGGAAAGACCCACGCAAAACTCTTGGTGGCTTTTGCTGAGCACTGTTGGGTTTTTGTTTGTTTGTTTGTTTTTAGCTTTTAATATTTAACTTAATCACCCAGTACTGAAACAGTTGTTAGGGAGGCCTGCATTAGTGAGACCTGGGCTGCCACAGGGCCGGTAGCACAAAGACTACTGATATCCAAACTAATAAATCAAATAAATTAATAAACTTTGTGTTTTCCTGAGCTTCTCCTGTGTATCCTCTGGTGGCCACACTCAAATGACCATCGCAAGAAAAATACAAAACACACACATGCACGCACACGTTATAAAAAAGTGATTGCCAACAGATTAAACCCAGGAATCGTTGCTGATAGGAAACCTTAGATAATGCCCAA